TTTGCATAAAACTTTANCCAGTGATTGTTGTTCCATAAAGCTGTGCCTATATATCGTACTCACAATTGCTAAATGCCATTCAAAGACTTTATCCTTTCTATTAGTTGAAGATTATTTTCTTTTTTTTTCTTTTTTTTAGCTGAAAACAGAGTTCTGTCCACATTATTAACATTAGAGTCTCAGTTAGATAAACTGTATGCTTCACCTGATCCTAATGCTCCTGAAAGTGAAGTGAAATTCAAGGCAGCTGTATCAGATTTAGCTGATAGAGAATTGGTCATTACTATTAGTTGGGCTAAACAAGTTCCAGGTAAGTCTTTTATTCTTATTCCTGGAAGGAACAAGCAAACCATAGCATAAGTCGCCTGTCATGAATGAAGCTTTGAGGATTGTCAAAGATGACTGGCAGTACACTAAGCTCAACTGTCAGAAAGGCTGACGTTTGTGGACAATGACCAATATCTGGTGCCATCTCCATTTCTGAAAGAAACAAGGCACCATTGAAGAAAATATCTTGAAAGTTTTTGCAATGATATTAATGTATTGAAACGAAATTGGTAGGGAAGATTTGGCCAAAAAGATATTATTAAAGATTTGTGTTGTAGATAAAACTTTATTACAAATGTCCGATTAGCACACTCATGACAGACACATTAATTATTATTTGATTCTAGTCTACCTACAAAAAAAACAGATGGAATCACAAATAGAACTATCATTCTTAGTTATAAATAGGACAGTAGGTCTTTCATCAGCAATGACTGCCAGATCAAACATGTAGACATAATTACTATTATATTTCATATAAGTTATTAATATATGAAAGCTATTCAACCATACAGATGCAAAGTATGCATATTAAAGCAAGTTATCAATGCATAGAAATTGACTATGTCTATGTCTAAGCATGACTTGATCAGAAGCATATTATTAGTTTTACCTATGCTCGACTTGAATGCAAGACTTAAAAGTGCTCATATATTTATATGACCAGCACAGAAACTCTTAAAAATTACAAGAAAATCCTGAATATGAAATGTGAATGAATAATAAAAGTATGAATATTTTATTTTTAATAACCTTTTTTATACAATAAACTGTAACCTGATTATAATGCTTGAATATTATAACATAATTTTGTATCATGTTGTGTATTTAACATAATTTATAACATAATATTGCTATCTTTACATAACCCTATTAACATAATTTACATATCTTCTTTAAATATCATGTTTTTTCTGAATCAAATAAATATTTAAAGGAAGCCTTTCAACTAATTCTAGTTTAAAATAATATCTTGTACCCAAGAAAGTCAGAAATTTAATGACTTGTCTTTGAGCTGAAAATCTTTATCATAGTCTTGTGCAAATTTTTGAGTAAAAATGAGCTTTACAAGCACTTAAAAATGGATGCTTAAATAAAATCAACATCATTGACACATCAAAAATAACTTTTGTTGATAACATTGTATATAGTGTCTTAACTAGTATGATTTTAGAGATAGATTGCTTGTGTGTCTTTGTGTTAAAGATCATGTTCAACCTACTATTAGGTCAGCACAGTAAATCACCTTAAACTAAACTTTAGTCACCTTTCAGCCCAGTTTTCTGGGTCAGTGAAGATTTTTTGTATCTCAGCTGACTTAAAGCCTTGTTCCTTTTCTGAAAATATTTTGATGTTGATCATTGATCGTAGCAACACTGAAAATTGATCATATCAATTTAAAAAGTGTCACAGGTGATTTTGGAACTGCAGTTATTAAATAGAAATATTTAAACATTATCCAATAAGTTTTCTCAAAGTTATCACCTCTTTCTACCTAATAAGTGTTGAAATCATGACCAATTTAACTAATTTTAAACTTTATATAAGCTTATACTATCCACATGTGCAAATAATATTTTACATTAGAACTGTTCATGTATCATTGTAAGTGCGAAAGTTAGAAAAATTTCATATAAATATAATTTGGTCCCCAGATGCTGGACAATTCTTTCAAGATTTGGGGTTTTTGTCAGAAGTAGCAGACTGGGCCAGTGCCAAGTTGAATCTTTGCTTTCAGTGTATTTGGTGTCAAAGATAAATTTAGAACTCAAGAGATTGGTAGAAAGGGAGTGTAAACAGATTTCATGAAATTAGCTGCTTAATTTCATGTTAAGGTTTCCAATCTTAGGAAATGACAGATGTTTTGCTATGATAAGACTAACAGGTGTAAGGAACTACATATTTTCTACGTGTAAAAATACACAGTATTTACTATAAGCTTACACCAATATGACATGACCTCCTTTCTAATAATAAACCTACAAGCTGTTGTCAGACTTTCAGAGGATGTCATTGAACTTCTTCATTCATTCATGGTCTCTTAATACCATATTTGGTATGGAGCAGCCATATTGTTTTCCATATTGTCATTGATGAGACAGTCAACTATGACCCTGTATGTTAATGTCGTTTGGCAGTGGATAATTGCAAATGATTAAACCTATGACAGTGACTGCCACGTTTACACTATGTTCCCAGCGACCACAACAATTGGGATGAACGCGAGACAACGCAGAGGGACGAGATTGGCAAACGTGACAAAGCATTTGCTGTGCCAGAATTTTAAACTCAATAAAAGCTAATCTGTAATCATATAAATTTCATAATATGTTCCCAGCGGCCACAACAGAGAACTCTTGAGTAAACGGGATGAACATGAGACAACATGGAGGGACGAGCTAGGCATATGTGACAGAGCGTAATTGTCGTGCCAGAATTTTAAATTCAATACAAGCTAATCTGTTATCGTATAAATTTCATAATATGTTCAAAGTGGCCACAACAATCACTGTTCAGACCACCGTGGAGAAAACAGGATGAACGTAAGACAACACGGCGGGACGAGATAGGCAGAGTGTAATTGTCGTGGATGCTGTGCCAGAATTTTAAACTTATATAAGCTTATCTGTAATCGTATAAATTTCAAGACATTTGCCTACCCACGTCTATTTGTATCTGTTTTTTAAACTGTTACAGATCTGTTTGTTTCCAAGTTGGAAACATAATAATTAAAATGTTGCCTTAAAAGGAAATTTTTGATAGACAAAAAATGATTTTGGAATCTCAAGGACAATAAAGAGATTTTTTCTTATGGAATGAAAGATTTTGCATGCTTGAAGTTTATTATCAAAGTCAATATTCCTGAAAGTGACATTTAAAGAGTTTATATCTCTATGAAAAAAAGAATCATCTAGGCTAGAATTTGAAACAAACAAATTTCAAGGACTGTTTCTGAAACACTTCAGTATCATTCAAAATAACAAACTTTTTCAATGTGTGGGTTTTTTAGCAGATTTTTTATAAAAGAAATTTAGAAGTGTGTTATTAGATTCCGCCATTGTTTGAGTTAACTGGTTGTCTTGTAGCAATTACAGGAAGCGTGTTGCAGGGAATAGACTTTATTCCAACAATGAGTTATTTGGTACATTCAGCTAAATAGAAAGTTTCCATGCAGTTAGTCATTAATCAAATTTAGATTTAATTATGGCATGTGGCTAATTATTTAATCAATTTCTGGCTTAAAGCTACCATGTTCAAGAAAAAAAGAAGAACAAATAACATCTATATCACTTAGCACTGTAAAAAAAAATAAATCTGTTCTTTGCATGTTAATCAATTTGATCTTTAAAGCTATAGTGAACATAAAAGGTAATTTTTTCTCCTGATAGAATCCAGTGATTTCACATAAGTCTTATTTTTGCACATCATTGTAAGAATTGTAAAGGGATATATGTATCAAAATGTCAAATATAATTTTGATTTTAACTGTCTGGGACACTGTTCAGAATAAAAATTCTTTGTCTGTTTCTCGTGCAATTCAGAAAAAATATGTCAGTTTCAAGCTGTTGTTAGTATTGTCACAATCAGTTAAGGTTAATGACCTCATAATATGGTAACATCAGTACAGATGTGAGAATTTTAATAATGTGGTACTTAAGTGATGACAGTTAAAACTCCCAAGGTACTTCAAAACTTCTTGTTTCAAATTGCATGAAAATTGAATTGACACCTTCTTGTGTAATATATACTTCATGAATAATCTTGAAATTAAAAGGTATCAGTTTTTTTGAACCACCCGATAAAGAATTCCATCGTTTTCAAAGTGGCCAAATTTATTTATTTTGTTCATATTGGATTTAAGTGATGGTCCAAATTTTTGATATTGCCCAACATCTAAATAAGTTAAGCCCCATTTGATCCCATTAAAGGCTTATTATGATTGCGTAGTTTTCCAATACGATATATTTTCCTAAAATAAAACACATTAAACTGTTAAAAAGAACCTGATGAAATAAGTCATTATCCTGTTTAAATACTCTTTTGTTACTGTCTCTATGACGTAATATAGCTGTTTCTATTTCATATTGAACTAATATCTAACTATAATTGCTTACAGATTAGTCATATATATAGCCTATTATAAAAGTTGTTAAAAAAGTACCGTATTTATCTAGAAAAAAGCTTAGACCTATATATAATAAATTTGTCTATATTGGGACTAATTGAAGGTTTTACTGTACATATTGTGAAATTGTAATGATGAAACTGTGCAAAAGAGAATCACTTGAAATAAAATAAGCAGATGTTACAGTGATTCCTGATACTAGCATGTACAGAAATAGAAGTGATTGCTACTGGGTCAAACTGAATTGTAGAAATTTGATTCTTAGATAAATATTGCTGGTATATACCTGTCTAACATAGATTTGATCAGTTCTAATACAGGTGTATTGTATTAGGCATGGAATCTTCTGTTATGGGTATAAGAAAAAAGAAATTTGGACCTGACTTGAACCTGTAGAGATCAAATTTCCCGATTTAAAATTCTGAAAGCTGGATGTTCTATACAATATGAATATATACAGAATGAATATACAATATGAATATACAATGTGAATATACAATATTAAAACAATGGAAGTGTAGGCCTAATATAAATTAATTATGAATATTTACATTATATGAATACACAAAATGAATATACAATATACACATAGAAATAGAATGAATGTATGAATATACAATATGAATATACAATATAAATATACAATGTGAATATACAATATGAATATACAATATGAATATACAATGTGAATATACAATATTAAAACAATGGAAGTGTAGGCCTTATATAAATTAATTATGAATATTTACAATGTATGAATATACAATATGAATATAAATATACAATATGAAGATACAATATGAATATACTATATGAATATACAGTATGAATATACAATAGATTACTAGTGCCAATGCCACTATAGAAAATGCAATCTTCAGTTGTTAGTTATAAATCTTAAAGGAAGTTTGTTTTTTATATTTTTCAGGTTTCACCAGTTTAAATTTAAGCGATCAGATGAATTTATTACAACACTCATGGTTGGAAGTTTTATGTTTAAATTTGGTCTACAGATCTTGTCCATACAGTGGTTATTTATGTTTCGCTGAGGATCTAAAAGTAGGCAGTGATTTGGTGAAAACGTATAACGTGCCACCCGAGTTTGATAATTTAACACGTAAACTATGCAAGAAATTCACCCTATTGGGCGTGAGTAAAGAGGAATATGTCTTGCTCAAAGCCATCACTCTTTGTAACATAGGTAAGTCTTTAACTTTGTTCATCATATCAATGGTTAGTCGTCATTGCATAAAATATTACAAAGCTCATGAAACCAAAAGGTCCTCGCTTTGATCAGGGCATTGTGTAGATTTATTATTGAATTTTCAATCCAGTTTTCCTTGTGAGTGCTATTTGGAGGGGCTTACATAAAAAAGCAATCCAGACAATAATCTGTTTGAAAAAAAAGGTGCTAATTTCGGTATCCTGGTAAAATTTTCCTCATTAGCCACTGCATTTCTCATAAAGTTATAATCAGATGGTTTTCATTACCAGTTGTCATTACCAGTCATGTAAAACAAGATGGATTGCTTTAGAAGCAAATATGAATATCAGTTGTGCATTACAAAGGTTAAGCTTATACAAGAGGATTTCAATTATCTGCCCTGACAGTGTTAAAAAATAAAAATCACTCTCTGCATAATAAATCTAATATGATTTATATACTGCACTCATATTAACAGTTTTAACTATAATAGGAACTTGCAACTACTGTCACTAAAATGTACAGAGCAAATATTTTCATTAGTTGAAATCCTGTTCTTTAGATAAATATAACCATCCCTATATCTTGACATTTGAAATTACGTTTAAAATAATAATATTAACAGGACATGACCAATGTGTTTTTGTTTTCAACAGAGACAGCAGTGTCCTTGAGAAAATATGTTAAAAAATGCGAAAAAATCAAAATTATGCTTGTCATAGAATTTTCAGGGCCTATTTAAGATTTCAATATGCTTATATGAGTGATTTGCTCAAGGCCATGAGGCACCTAAAATAACCTTATTAGTATTCAGCTACTGAAAAATGTCTCATTTAAATTTTAAAAGTATTTAGAAAAAAAAACTTGTGATAGTGATATTAATATTCAAGGAAATACTAGCTTTTAAAGGAATACTACCTCTTAGAATGAATAGAAAAATTAAAGTCTCCCTTTTGGTGTATGATATATTCATCAGTTGGATTACCAGGTACCATGACTAAAGAATAGAATCTCTATATAAGACGATGTATCTGTTAAACTAAATAATTATTGAAACAAGCTCTAAGCAATGAATTATTACTTGATATGGATTTATTGAATTATAGAGGGATTCTGTTGTAAAGTAAAACCATTGATAAACTAAGACCCATTTTGGACAAGTTGAAAAATTTGGATTTTTGTTCATCCTAAGAGGTAGTATATCTTTAACACTGAAGGAAATACTAGGTTTAAAAAGTAATCATTTATAAAGTGATGGATAGACTGAAAGTAGAAAAGAAGGAATTAAACTCTTAAAAACTCATCCAAGTCTTCTTTATGAAAGTGTGTCAAATATTCTACTCCCTGCCGTGTACATTATACCTGCCCTGTACATTATAATATGGTATATTAACTGTTTAATTTTAATATTGAATTGATTAACTTGGTAATGAGCTTATTTAATATTATGGCTAAGAAGTAGGAAATGAGGAAATAGTATGCATCAATAAGAGCTTTATTAGAATTATATAATATTATATGAAATATGTCACTGAGTGCAAAGTTAAAATTTTATTGAAAATTACTTCTGTGTATTATTATATAAGGTACCTGTAAGTAATTCAGTCAAGGTTTTTTTTCTGGTCTCTATATTTGAATAAGAAACTAGTTAATACTAGTAACATTTCCATTCTATGACCATTCCCATTAACATCCAATATCCTGTGTTTTGAAATATGAAAAATTTCAGATGTTATATTGGATGGTGAAGTCATAGTTTTTCTGAACAAAAATCTGCAGACATTTTTCATAAAATGAACAAAAGTGACAAAATGTTTAATATATATTAATATTATTATTATTTAATATATTTGATATTAGAGTACATGGTTTGATATTAGAGTGTACATTAGAGTACATGTTTGATATTGAATTACATGTTTGATATTAGAGTATACATGTTTGATATTAGAGTATACATTAGAGTACATGGTTTGATATTAGAGTGTACATTAGAGTACATGTTTGATATTGAATTACATGTTTGATATTAGAGTATACATGTTTGATATTAGAGTATACATTAGAGTACATGGTTTGATATTAGAGTGTACATTAGAGTACATGTTTGATATTGAATTACATGTTTGATATTAGAGTATACATGTTTGATATTAGAGTATACATGTTTGATATTAGAGTACATGTTTGATATTAAAGTATACATGTTTGATATTAGAGTACATGATTAATATTAAAGTACATGCTTAATATTAGAGTATCGTATATGCTTGATATTAGTGATTTATCCATTATTAGATATAGATGGATAAAAGCACATTTAGCTGTATAATACTAAAAAAGGTTTTTAACACTTATAGTACAAAATATATGGGATCATTGTTAATTACATACTGCACTTGTAATTTATTTGAATTTATGTGCATATTCTGGCAGTTATTTGAATAATTACATTAAAAAAGATATTATTTTTATCGTTGTAGATGTGGTAGCAGAAGTGACTGATACAGTACGTTGTCTACAAGATAAACTACAAGACTCATTAATGGAGACTATACGTCAGCGACATGGTGGAGACATGAAAAGATTGGGACAATTATTTCTCCTTCTTCCACCTATAACTCACATCAAACTTCTAGCCAAGCAATTCTGGTTTGACATGAAAAAAGAGGGACGTGTATTGATGCATAAATTATTTCTAGAAATGCTCGAAGCTGATTCTTGAGGAAGGTTGAAAAAGCCAAACACATGGCTTCCACCTTTTTAGGAGACACTTACAATAATTAGGCTTAGAAGATATTTTTTTGTTAAATAAAATGGTCATCATTGTGTGTATATATATATATAGATACCAAAATGGCGGCAACTAATGACGATGAAACTGCATGGCTAGTAGGAGTGCAAACTCGATTTTTGGAGTGATTAATTTTAGACTGTGTAGTAGAGACAAGATTGCAGGATTGTTACGGTGAATATTTTGTGGGTAGAGGATTCTGCTGTGATGTGGAAAATGGGACAAGGAGCATTGACCATATTGGATAAGCAATCTAATGACTTTTTATTCATAGTTAATTTAGTTTTATATATAAATAGTATATAGCGTTTGCATTTTTTGTTGGTGAAATTTATTTTGATTAAAAAAAAGTCGAAAAGAGAAAATACGAAAAAAAAAAAATAAGAGAAAAGGACTGTGGTGTGATTTTGTTACATTGAAATTTCAATGGGATATTGTTGTATGAGGAGTCTATCTAAGAGAGCTTGATTTACCAAAGCTTAGAAACAGTTCTAGTTAGACCATGCAAAAGAAATCACTAGTTTTTCAGGCCTTTGTTAATTTAGAAAGTGTAGAAATCATGTAAAGCCTTTAGATGCCTGAAAAACTGGTCGTTCATATTTGTGGCCTTAATTAAGACAATTTTTTCTTAAATTTGATTCATTTATATACCTATTTGAATAGAATGTTAAAATCTAGTGTTAATGATCACTAGAAAGTCTGGTCAAATTGACTAAATTTTTAAGAATTGAATTGAAAACCAAATTCTAAAATGGATGATAATTTGAACAAAATTAAGAAATATGGAAACATATTGAACTTGAGTATTTAAGTTCAAATTTTGAGGACAGATGAAATTTTGAGTTGTAAATTGATTATATAAATGAATCAAATAGAGAATAATATTGAAATATTAGTAATTAATATTAGATACCAGTATAATTTATCATTCCTGAACCCATCATAATATACGAAGGTGGTATTATTTATCATTTATTATTAACAATATTATTAGTTATTTTTATTTTTACCAATCAATTTGTTATTAGGTCGTCATGATAAATAACTCCTTGTTTTTCAGGGTTCTTTCTAACCTATGAAGCTAGGAGTTATTTTTTGACGACCTTCAGATTTTTTTTCCCCTTCCAACCTTGTAGGAATTATTATTTGTTATTATTGTAATTAATATAACGAAATAAACATGTTTAGAAATAAACATTACGATGGGAATATCATGAACTATTTATTGAAAAACATCAGGTTGTGTCTCAAATCATTTAGAAATATCAATCAAATTTTCTTCCTTTCTTCGTTTTTAGACTGTTTTCCACCAATCACACACACACATACATATACCCATTTTATTAAGGCAGCATTGAAATCATTGTATTTTAACATCAAGATGGAATTAATAACAGCATTTAATCATAATGACATCTTCAGTAGGCATGGCAGAAACTTCAATCACTTCTGAAATCTAATGCTTCCACTAAATGCAAAAAATATCTCAAAATTATTGAATTGAAATTAAGAAAAATACCAAATTCAGTTTCAGAAAATAATGAAATTCCAATTTGGAAAAAATTATCAAATTCAGATTTAGAAAAACTCTCAAATTCAGATTTAGAAAAATTATCAAACTAGATTTGGGAAATGATCAAATTCAGATTGAGATGACCGTTAGATTTCTGCTAGTGGAACTGATTTGGGTTGAGTTTTTATGCTTGAATTTTAGGCAAACTATTAAAAATGACTTGTTTTTAAAAAAGCAAATTTTTTCAGATCAAATTTTATGAATTTGTACGGGTTGTATCCTAGAACAAAGCAGTTACATTAAGATCTGAAGATTCTTTTGTAAAAAAACATTTTTATAACACAAAAAATACGATAAAAACAATTATTATAACTGTTATTCAGAAAATTTTTTATTGTTCTTCCAAATTAAATGCCACATCAGATTTTGAATAAGATAATGTAGATATGAAATGTTTTACCTTATAACTGAATAATTTAATATATTATTGCTATGATGGAAACATAAGCTTAAGCCTGCTTTTAAATGAAATTTGGTCATCACATTAAAGGGATTCTTCCACATATTCAGTATAACTCTGAAACTCTAAAATTCTTTAAGGATTCTTTCCAGCCTCGGAAAATTATGTGATGTTATCCCTTTAATCATTTCACTTCTATGAAAAATTAAGATATTCATAATAAATTATATAAAAAGTCATTTCATTTCGTGTGAAATACAATAGTAACATGCTTGTAAAATTTCATATTTTCAACTTCATGAATGATATAGTCTAATATATTTGTTTGTTTTAAAGGAGGCTTTTTTGATGTTTTTCTTTTTCTCATAATCAAGTTTTTTTGAGTTTTTTTGGTAGAATGTTTGTTAAAAGTAGTTGTTGAAGTTTTCAGATTTTAATGTACATAGAAATCAAAGTTAGTTTGAATGTATATATCATGTGAATACACTTGGTCTAATACGATCAAAAATTTTTGCAAAAAAAATGGTAAATTATGTTATTTTAATTCTAGTTGCTATCAGATGTAATTATGTCCACAAAAAAATATACTTCCCTCCTACTGAGTCTGAAACTTCATCTTCAAAAATTAGTTGTTGAAGTCCATAAAAATGGATTACCCCCCCACTCTGATATGATAAATAAATTTCATTGAGTGTAATATTTCATATTCTGAGTGACCCAAAATGATACTTGATACCATCACTCCAAATCAAAAATAGTAACACTGCCAAAAATAGACTCATAAAATTTAAATATAGCTACCACATTAAATTTTTCAGCCAATTTTGACAGATGACATATGACCCATAGAGTGTTGAAAAGATAACTTTACATGTTCAAAATAATCTAGGTAAGGTAATTTGAAATGCGCATAAAGATTTATGAGATAAAATTTGGGCTTCACTTAAGTAATACGACAGATTTATGCATTGACAATGTCATTTATTATCTTATAAGGCTGCATATATACGTAAGATTTGAAAATTTTCCATTAAAACAGTAGACAAGTTTGTTTCCTTTTATGGTCAAAATTATGAATAGATTGATAAATATGTAATAAAGTATGCAGACATGCCAGAAAATTGTAGCCTTTCCTGTATCCATATAATTTATTACCATATTTGAAGGATTGTTGACCAAAATTTGAATTAATTACACTAACAAGTTGACACGGAAATAATGATAATTAAAACATGTCTACGTATGCAAAGTTTGGTGTCAAAACAGTTATGAAACGCTAATATTCCTTGAAATTTTATGTAAAAATTGTTCAAGACCAAGCAAAGTCGCAGTTTCAAGGTTTATAATTTAGTTTATCAAGGGTTTAAAAACTCGACATTCTTATAATTTCAAAGATCATTAGACTTTAAGTTATGAAAATGTTCAGTTATATATTAACGACAAAGCCTTAAAGGAGAAGTTTGGTGGTAAATTATTTGTTGTTAAGAACTAGGCCAATCTTATTAAAGGAATAGTTGTAAATTATAGTTAAATAATGTTCATAAACACACTCCTTTACCAGTTA